TAGGACACAGTATTAACACTAGGTGGTGTAGGACACAGTATTAACACTAGGTGGTGTAGGACACAGTATTAACACAGTAAAGTAAAAAAAAACTAATAATCTTGCAAAAAAGTTAAATTTTGTAGTTTCAACATGTAATAGGACACAGTATTAACACTACTGGTGTAGGACACAGTATATTAACACTAGGTATTGCAGGACACAGTATTAACACTAGGTATTGCAGGACACAGTATTAACACTAGGTATTGCAGGACACAGTATTAACACTAGGTGGTGCAGGAAACAGTATTAACACTAGGTGGTGTAGGACACAGTATTAATGATAGCTGGTGTAACTTACTCCAGGGTTTAAGGGCCCAAAGGATTGACATCTTGGAGAGTTCATCCTTGGATTCATAGAATTCATACCTGGAGGACCTAAAGATAAAACTTTGGTTACAAGCAGAGTTAAAACTAGCTGCTTCTAATGGTAATGAAAACTGCTGCTAAATCGTCTTCAATCAAAAATTATTTAATGAATTAGTCACACATAAAAAAAGAAAACTTCTGATTTCAACGTATACATAATTGTCCTGATTAGGAGTTATACGTTTGTCAAATGGGTTAATACTTTATACCTTCTATAAAACACATAAAAAAGAAAACTTCTGATTTCAACGTATACATAATTGTCCTGATTAGGAGTTATATGTTTGTCAAATGGGTTAATACTTTATACCTTCTATAAAACACATAAAAAAAGAAAACTTCTGATTTCAACGTATACATAATTGTCCTGATTAGGAGTTATACGTTTGTCAAATGGGTTAATACTTTATACCTTCTATAAAACACATAAAAAAAGAAAACTTCTGATTTCAACGTATACATAATTGTCCTGATTAGGAGTTATACGTTTGTCAAATGGGTTAATACTTTATACCTTCTATAAAACACATAAAAAAGAAAACTTCTGATTTCAACGTATACATAATTGTCCTGATTAGGAGTTATACGTTTGTCAAATGGGTTAATACTTTATACCTTCTATAAAAACATACCAGAACACTGATCTTTAAGTACTGGTATCAATCATGCAAGTCTTAAAAATAATTCTGCATGATCGGAATGATGAAACAGTAAACATGTGCACTTTGGTTTATTTACAATTTCAATTACCAGGAATAAAAACTTGTGAAGCAACTTACACATACTTGTGTAAATGTTTCATTTCAGTAAATTGAATGATAGGCTGTAAAATAAGATAGTACAAAGATACAATTAACAATGACATCCTATGAATCATTCAGTAAAATAACTGAAAGACTCCAACACACGATAGTACAAAGATACGATTAACAATGAATGGACAATTTTAAGAAATATATTATTATTGAATATTTTTGTTTGAAAACTTTCACTTATATGTTTTTCTTTCCCTGTTTTATGGAACTTAGTATGGAGGCTATTTTGTACTGTTGGTTGATGTAATAATTCTGTTTTCCCAAGATGAACATAAAATCATGAAGTACATAAACAACAACTCAAAGATACACGAACCCAACAGGATGATTTTAAGTTTCTGTTCACAACAGGCAGAAAAGTAATAGTTTTTCCTGATTTAGCTCTCTATTAGCAACGGCTCTCATCTATTAGCAAGATCCATCCATACAGAACTTACAATGTTCAAACTGTGCCTATTCAATAGATTCTAAGATATATTTATTACTCTCAAATGATATATTACTACAGGAGAGAACATGGCATTGTTATCCTCAGGTAGAGCTATCTTACATCAAGATAAAAATAAAACTCGGAAAAGACTTTTAGAATGTATTTTTGGAACACAAACCAATTAGTAATTTAGTAAAGAGTACTGAAGGAAGACCGAAGGCTTACTTGAAACAGCAGCAAATTCAAATACAGAATAAACAAAC